TGCTCCTGTCACTGCAGAGTTTTACAGGGAACAGGCACCATGCTGGAAGAGAGATGACAGAAGCCCTGCGTGAGTCTCAGTTAAACAGGCCTTAGCGAGGGCTCTGTGAGGATGCCTGCACCAAGCTGTATTCTTGCATGCTGAGAGGAAGAGATTTGGCCCAGTCTAGTTTAGAGATGAAGGTTTTCCATGGAGCATAACCTTTTTTCTGAAGAAAAAAAAAATAACCTCAACACAACCCCTGCTTCCAACTACACTGAGCTCCTGGGACCACGAGAACGGAGATTGGTTTTGCAGATTGTATTGTTTTTGCCAGTACTGTCACCAGCTTCATATTTCTCAAACTTTGCCAAAAAGCAGTTTCCATTTTAAAAAGACAAAGCCTTTTGCGTTTGAATTGGCCTGAACATCTGGATTCTATTTGTATTTCTCTTAGCACACAGCCAGCAATGCAGAGAAAAGAATTTGGTTGGAGAGAGGTGGGATGTTTCAGGCATGATATTAAAATCTGTGGCTGTCTTTAAAGAGACGAGAAGGAGCAACAGCGTGTGATGTTACAGTCAGGAAGGTACAGGAAGAAAACTTTGAGAAATGAGCTGAGAAGGTACTTTGTGTCTGGGAGTTGCCGATTTGTGAAGGCCTGCAGGTGCAAAGGAAATACTTTACTTTCCCTCTACAATGGTACAAGTCTCACATCGTTTATAAACGCTTCTGCCTTTAGAGGTGCTGTGAAACATGAGCCATGAGTTCAGACTGCTCACTCTGCTCGTTCCACCTCACAGCACTCCTGAAGCATCCTGCAGCTACCAGCTCTAGAGGATTTGACTGTCACCAAACTTGTTACCATCACAGAGAAAAAGCTGCAAGGCAGATGCAGGAAAGGCAGAAAACCACCCCAGTTCCCAAGCACAGTTCAGCCCCGGAGGCAAAGCTGGTGCTGGTGGCTCCCAATCCCTGGTGAGGTCTCTTGGTGGGAATCACACCTTTTAACACCTGCACGAGAACCATTCTTCCCATTTCCCAGGTGCTCTGAGAGCTCCCCAGCCTCAGCCCCTGCCCTGTGCTCCCCTCACCGCTGGCAGTGGGCACAGGTGAGCTGCCCTGAGCTGTCCCTTACCTCGGGCTCCTCTCTGCCGCTGCTGTCAGGGGCTCCCAGCGGGTGTGAGTCGAGGACAGTGTGGGTTTGGTGCAGCCACATCTGCTTTTTGCTGCTTCCCCCAGCCCAGCCTTCGGCAGGCTTCAGGTTACAGCTTCCCAGGGCTCTCTTAAAGTGCTCTGCTCCCATTTTCCTCTGCTGCCACTCTCCCACTGAATTGCACTAATTTTTTAACCCTTTTTTCCAAGACAAATGTGCTCCCTGTGCTCAGGGCAGTGTTGTGGGTGAAGCAAAGGCTGGAGAGGCAAATGCTCCCTGCCCTGTTTGAGCAAGTCGTTTATCCCAGCAGTTTTGCCATATGTCACATCAGGGAATTTCTTTTGTCTCAGAGGTATGGTTAATGCAGCAGTGTTTAATGGATTTATGGATCTATGTCCAAGATCTAATGGAGAGACTTACAAAGTGGAAGCAGGATTCTGTTGTTTAAGGCAGTTAAGGGGAAGATGCTCTGAACTGCTTGTATCCAGTGATAGTTACTAGTTAACAAGAAGTCATTAACATAATTGGCTTTAAGTTTTTGGCGGAAAAAGAAAGAAGCTAAAAAGCCAACGACTTGTTAAAAAAAGATTAATTAAGAGAATCTTGTAGGAGCTTACAGAATGACAAATGATCTGGAGAAAGGAAAGGGGCAGAGGGGTTTCATTATTATTTGCAATAGAAGACTCAAGGGGAGCACCCATCAGTGCACATTTAAATCAAGGGAGTGTATTTTTAATAAGTATTAAATTGTAAAACTCATTGTTACTAGATTCTGCAGAATATGAAAGATAAACAGATTTGAGGGTAAAAAAAACAACCCAAACCAAATTAGTGGAAGACAGGTCCCCTGAAGGCTGACAGTGGTCAGATGTAACATCAGACTCAGCAGCTGGGCAGTACAACCAGAGAACAGTTGGTTTTCCTTGTCCTTAGTCATTCTTGGCTTTCTTCTCCACAGTCATTTTTTACTGGATACTGGGAGAGCCAGGATACTGGGCTAACTGGACACGTAGCTAACCTGATCCAGCTGTTTGTCTACTTGGAAATGCTGGAAGTAAATTGTAGGCAGTACTGTCAGTGCCCCCAGTCTTGAACTGGGATAACTCTTTGGGCTGCCAGGCTCGCTGCTGGCAGGTAATGAGGAGTTCCTCAAGTGTGCTGCACTCAGCAAAGGGGAAAGGATGAGTTTAGAGATGCATTAGCTGCTGTTTTTGCAAGCTGGAAAAGCAAACCAGGTCGTCTGCCCTTTGATTAGTCAGTGCTTCAAAGGTGACCCTTTCTAGCAAGAAGGCTAACAGCTCTGCTTTCAGCTGCTTCTCAGCTTGCTCTGTGAGAAATCATCTGCAGAGAGATGTTTGTGCTTGTTAATGTACCATCCTCAGCCCAGAAGTGGGGGTGTTGGCTGTGGAGATATTTTCTGGTGGTTTTCATCTCTTTTTGAAACCTTATTTGTGGTATTAAAATGCCCTTTATGGAAGGACCACTATAGAAGTTTTTATGTCTCGTCTCTATCTTCAAATGAACTCCCATCTGTTTAAATATAGGTTTCATTTTAAATTGTTTAAATCAGAGTGGTAGTTGCATAGAATGTTATGAAAGACCAGTTTTATTCCTGTAGGTGAAGGGTATCCCTGAAATGGTGCATTAAACTCATCTAACAAAATCAGTTTTGTTAAATCAATACAAACATTTTACTGTTGTTCTGGTTTGGGTTCAATATGCTGTCTGAACATTGCTCACTTCAGCTGTGGAAGTACTGATGATATGAATTTGCTCTGGTAAGGAAAAAATACATCTAATATTAAAGATATTGAGACTTATTTGATATTCTGAGCCAGTGGTGCAGATGGATAGAGCAGACGCCCTGTGCTAGTCATGTCTTTTCAGAGTACAGCTCAGTCAAAATGAAAGCTTTAGCAATGCAAAGTGGAAATTCCTGAGCAGAGACATTAATATTACTTTGCATTTTACAAACTGCCTCTTCTGGAAAGCCGGTGGAGTGAAAAAGAGTCTTATGGTTGGTGTAACTGATAATTTGTTGAGCGAAGCACAGTCATGGAGGGCTGCTGTACTGTCAAATAAGATGAAATTAATAGTTTGACAAGAATAGCTTGGAGGAGGAGTGATGGCAACAGGAGAGAAAATAGGAAATAAGAACCAAGCTGTTCAGGAAACTGAGAACAAGGGAAAAAACTTTGTAGAAGGGGGAGCTGGAAGGCAGAGGCGTCAAAAGACTTGAGTTTCAAATTATGCAGAGGTTGCAGTGCAAGAGGGTGGCATTCAGGGAGGTTGCAGTAGCCAAGGCAAGACTTACCTAAGGCATGGAATGGTATTTCTGAATGTTAGGAATGAATCTGTATAAATAAATAAGCTAAAATGTTCCCTGTGGGCTAGAGCTGTGCCCTCATAGTAGGGCTGAATTCTTGTGGGTTTACTTGTTAAAATTGCCTGGCCCTGTAATTACAGCCTCTTTTTGAAGGGTATGTGTTATTACACTGGTTAGAGGGGTAGGCATTATCTTCAGCCATTCTTCCCCTTTTAGACTGGGAGAAATGCATAATTGCAGGTTGGAGCCGGGACTTTTTATTCCCCAAAGTCGCCTGCATCCCCAGAATTCATGGTTAGTGAGTCAGTCCTTCTCTTATGCCAGCAGATGGTGCAGACTATTCAGGGACGGAGGCTCCCAGAAGCATTCTGCTCCTTCCTTTGAGGGAAGGCAGACTTCCCCAGTGAGGAAAACGCTGCCAGAAGGGTGGCCCCTGGGCTCTGTAACTGCTGTTTCGCAAAAACAGGGCACCATCCTTTTTACCCAGAATCTGGGGGGCTTGGAACCAGAATCTACTATGGACAGGAGTTGTTCTGTACAGAAAGAGCTGCAGCATGGCAAGGGTGTGGTGAGCTAGGCCAATATTTTTAAGTGGTAGGATGGCTTGGTTGGGTGGAGGGTTTGCAAGATTCTTTCATAGAATCACAGAATGGTTTGGGTTGGAAGGGACCTTAAAAATCATCTTGCTCCAACCCTCCTGCCATGGACAGGGACATCTACCACTAGACCAGATTGCTCTAAGCCTTGTCCAAGCTGTCCTTGGACACTTCCAGAGATGGGGCAGCCACAGCTTTTCTGGGCAACCTGTGCCAGGGCCTCATGAGGTTTCATGATAGTGCACCACTGCCTTGGAACAAAGACCCATTTCAGGGTTTGTGATGGGCTGTTCCCATCTCAGACAGAAGTGAAGCTGTAACAGGATGTTGTCTTTTGCCAAAATAGGGCAAAAGCAGTGACATTCAGCTACAGGTGTCAAAATCTGCTCTGCTTTCCTTGGATTCTGTCCCAGCCATCTACAGCACTGTGGAGTCAGGAGTATCCCAATAAAGGACAACTTGCAATTAACAGATGCTGGTCAGCACCTTTGACCCTCTGAGCAGATCCCAGCAATTGTCAGGTTTTACCCAAGAGAAAGGTTAAGAGCTGTCACATTCCTACTTATCCCTTCATTGCTGCTCACAGGCAAAATACCCTCCTGCCCCTGTGCCACTGAGCTCGTGCCCTAGTTCAGGGAATTCTGCCATCTTACACAGCCAGCTCTGACCCAGAGAGCATCCCGTGCACACTTGGCAGGTGAGATGCCCAAAACTTGTTGGACTCAGTCCTTGGAGAGCCTTTACAGATTTGCCATTTCACCTCACAGCCCCTGTTGTCCTCTGTGATGAGGTGTAACAAAAAGCAGATCCTTTGCCAGAGCCTCTCCTATCTTTTCTTCTCTAGTGCCCAGATGTTTTTTCCCCCCAAACTTTGCAATTATTCAACTTCTATGTCTTTTTCCTTTCTCAGTTGTGTCCTTCAATACAACACCTTCAGCAAATATATTCTGCTTTATTCTTTATTATTCTGCCAACATAAAAATTACTAAAAAACACTTTATAAAATATGTCTTGAAAAATCTAGCATTACCCAACCTCTAGAGTTTCCCGGAAAAGGGCTGCAGATAAGGATCCAAAGTGGTTTCCCACTGCAGAGCCTCCTACATCAAATCCAAATTGCCAAGGAGTGGGAAAAGGGAATCTTTTAAAAGAGCCTGTGCCTGGAAGTGGCTGTGACTCATCCTAGAGAAGACAACTGGTTACTAGTCCAGTTGCTCTAGAGGTCGTTTTCTAGGTGGGCACAGATGGTTTTCAGAGGAACATTGAGGGAGACATGTTCCCAGGAACTGCGGAAGGAAGAGCCATATTAATATATCTCTGGCTGTTGTCCAAGCTGCCAGATGCTAATGATGATTCCAGGCTATGGGGGACTCTAATAAGATCTTAATAAAGACTCTAATAACAGTCTGGGGACAAGAAAGTCTCCCTTCCATGACTGAGAGCCCTGGAAGGGAAATCCAGGGAAAGCAAGCTTTTCAGGTTCAACAGAGGGGAACCTCAGCCTGGAGAAGCTTGTCAGGGCTGGAATGGGCTATCCCAGGACTGGTCTCTAGGGATCTGTAAAGGAAAATAGTAAGGAATTGCCCCCCGTGGCCTCAGAGGGAGGTCTCTGAGGGCAGGAGGCCTCTCTCAGCTGGTCCAGAGGGTCAGGTCGCAGTCCCAGAACACTTAGATTCTACTCCTCTCTTATTTGGGCACGTGGTACTTATTGGCATCTGTGGCTTCACGTGAGTCCCGTGGCTCTTGGATCTGGGGAGCAGCACTGGGGTTGGGGTTCTGGACACTGCCTATGAAAAGCGGGATGCCCGTTTCATCCTCAAAGATAATGAAGACAAAGGGCCGGTCGAGGCTGAAGACAGAGACCGAGCGGGACAGCGCGACGCTGGTTGCAGCAGATGCTTCCACCCCATCCTCTTTAAGCTCCATGGTGGACTGGTGCTGCACACTGGACACAAAGAGAGGCTCATCTGTGATCTTCTGCAGATTTGGGCTTGTGAACAGCTCCTGGAGGCCTACAGAGAAAGAAGATGAAGTTAAAGTTAACCTTCCCCAGCTGGTGCCACCAGCTCTGATTTTTCTCAGAGCTGTCTGAAGAAAGCAATTCCCTGCTCTGTTGCTACGTGTGTTGCCCACCATGAAGGCCTGGAGAACTGACAGGGAAGAGAAACAAAAACTGCAGTCTAGGCATGTTCCCCAGTCTCTTTCTGTATGAAGAGCTGAGGGTGCCAAAACCAGAACAGGTTTCACAAGCTTTGTCCACCTCGTTTAGAATAGTAGTGTAAAACTTAAAGTCATCCTTAAAAAGCAGCAGCAAGTCTGAAGGCTCTTTCTTGCTAGGCTGGAAACACTTTTACAGAGATTATTTTTTTTAAGCAAAACAATATGAACTCTTAAATTATTCTCATCTGGAAAGGCAGTGCCTGGTGTTTTATTTCAGTGCCAAGTTTTGTGATCTGAATTTTCTCTGTTGGCAATTTCCATGTCCTGGACAGTGCATTAAATGACAAAGTAAGAGATAAAGATTGATGCACAGGAGGAAGTTGGTCTTGGCTACAAGGAGGGGAATGGAGAAACTGTGAACGCTGCCTTCTCTGTAGTATCATCTTGTTGGAGCAAAACATTTGGTGCTAGGCAAGCAAAGAGTAAGGAGGAGGAGAGGAAGAAGGGATGGGAGAGTTTGGAGTTCTGGAGCAAGCTGTGAGGCACAGCTTTAGAAACAAGGGTGGCAGTTTTAAGTGTCAGTGAACAGATGCCATAGATTGAACAGCTTGGCTTGTTCTGTGCAAAGAGGCCTTACCCATTTGACTGAGAACCTTGTTGAGTTCCAGCTGGTAGTCCAATTTTATTTTTGGGATCTTCACTGTGGTGGGCACCTCTTTGGGGAAAAGCCTGCATAGTTGTTTGTAAGGGAAGTTCTCCAGCACATGAGAGGGATTCCGGGTATACTGGTTTGGTACAATGACCACAAAACTCACATTACTCTTAAAGGGAAACTTGGCCACCTGGAAATAAAACCAACCAGAAGAATTTATGGAAAAGGAAGGAAAATCCAGAAAGTGATTCTTTTAATTTAGTCTGTTTCCAGTTGGTCTACAGAGCCAGTCTTGCTATCAGATGAAGTCTGTGGTGAGAAGGAGGGATCTGATTTCTCCAGAAGAGAAAATTCGTTGGAATAACAGCATTAGATTTTAGTAGCAGCCACTGAGTGGTAAAGATTGAGCACATGGCAGAGTGGAAGCCCATGGGCACAAACATTGTACCCACTCTGGCTGTATTCTGAAGCACTTCAACAGTACACTGTCCCAGAGAATTCCTTTGCATGTTTCCTCATTTATCTTTAACTCAGGGCTTTAAAACTATTAATTCCCACTTAGTGGGAATATCTCTTTGTGTTTTTTTCCCAGAGACTGAGAGTGAAGATCCAACATTCTTACTTGAAGCAAGGATGAGGGATGATTATTAAATTTTTGAGTGCTGTGCCTGTTAAAAAAACTTTTTTTTGTTTTTGAAAGAATACTTGCAGTCAGTAAAATACCATAAAAGGAAATTCCAATCAAAACTTACAATGCTCCTGTGAGAGCCCTACCTGAATGTCCTGGGACTCCAGTGTAAACCAGCTCAGGGGGTACTGGTGGGCTTTCATCATCTCAACTGGGACCACAAACTTATTGTCAAGGTGGAATACATCTGTCTCAGTCAAGCTAGCATTAAACTTATTCCTCCAAAACCCTGTCAAAAGAAAAGTTTTGAAATCAATGCAGTTAAATTTGGGTAGAAAAACAGAAACTGCTGAGCTGAGTTCTCTAACAAGGCAGACAGTGCCAGGCAAGTAGAAATACAGCAAAGAGAAGTCAGTACCAAGGCTGGAAGAGCCCTGACAGCAGGAAACTCTTATCATCCAGAGAGGGACTGTGAAATAACAAAAAGAACAAGGATAAATCCTCATGCCTCAGTGTGGGAGACCAGCGAAGGCTATGGAGATAAAAGAAACAATGTTTGTGCTTTGAAAACTGAGGAGTATTGCCTTTGTGCTGCATAGGGTGAAACACTGCTCCAAGACCAAGGCAAAGCATTTGTAGACTGACACTGGAGGTGTTTGGTCTGTGCACAGCCCTCAGGGAATTAAAAGAGGAAGATGTGCCTGACCACTGTGCTGTAGTCAGAAGGAGATCCACAGAAGCTGCCTCTGAGCTCTGTGGTGGGTGTGTAGTGAGTTGCATGTGACCTGGTTAATCACAGAATTATTTAGGTTAGAAAAGACCTTTAAGATCATCAGGTTAGGACTAGATGAGCAGGGATGTGCCACTGCCTGGGATCCTGAACCAGGAGGCAAAGGCACTGCAGGTCCCACCTGCTGCATTCGGGCTCTGTTGTCAAGTAACATTTTTAGCACATGTGAAGCAGTTGGGAATCATCTCTGTAGAGAAATCTAAGCAAGAGGAACAGCAGATGTACAAGAACAAGCAGATTGACTAGCAGGAAGCAAGGAAAGGAGGTGCTGTTCAGCTACAGGGCTTGCAGAAAACTAGATTTCTAACTATTTCTCTTGGAAAATAAGGAAAGCCTGTGGAGCTCACCATGGAAATGGATTGCATTGAGCAAGAGCATCACCGTGTTTTCAGGGAGCTGCTGTAGGAAGGTGGGTATTTGCCCACGAGTCGCTTCCTTTACCCAGTTGTTGATGGCTACAAGGTCATTCTCACTGATCCCAGAAAGGGTCATGGGCTTTGCTCCATAGAATTTCTCTGAATCCTCCAGGAACTTCTCTTTCACCTCAAATCCTGGCAGAGGGGCAGAATTCTACATTAAGTCATTGGACATGGAAAGGGTTTGCTCAGTGGCTCAGCCAGTGGCATGACACTCCCGGGAGGAGTGCTTAGGGAAACAGAGCTGTCTCCTAGTATGGCAGTGTGCTTCCATCACTCTCTGTCACTGGGAGTTTTATCCTACACCAGTACAGACCCCCCTGTGCCAGCTCTGACCTTTCTGCAGGTACAGACGCGATGCCAGGCTGAGGGTGGACTCGCTGAGCCTTCTGCGAAGGGTGCCCAGCATGTGGTGGAGACAGGGCACAGACTCCAGGTGCATCACCTCCAGCAAATGCTTCTCTGTCTGATCTGCTGCTCCTAAAAATCAAATTCCTGTTAGGTCATGCCCATGCAGTGGAAAACAGGGATGTTACTCCGGCTGCCTCCTGTTAGAAACATGCTGTGCCTTACAAAAGAGGCTGGAGAAGTCTGAGAGTGGGAGCCTCAGAGGGCAGCTTCAATTGTAATCATACCTAATTAAAGCTGCAGGAGTAAAGATAAGTGGAAGGGACTGTATTTAATTTGCATTTTGCACACTGTTTGCTAGTGCCTTTGGGAGAGGGTATGGGGAAGGGCAGGAAATGGTGAGTTTGTAGCTAAGAAGTTACCCAGTGCCAGGTGAGACAAGGCGAGAGCGATGCTGAGGGGCGACAGGATCACATTGGTTCTGTTGGATTCCAGCTGGACCTCTCTCAGGAGATCGATGCTGAATCTCACCAAGCCATCTGCCAGCCTCTGGCTTTTCTTCCAAGTCATCTCACAGCTTTTATCTTCAGCCTCTCCTTCTTCAGGAGAGGCAACTTCCCCAGGTAGTTTGTTTTCATGACAGCCCCCGGCCCCAGCTGTGGGTTCATCTTCTAGGTTCCTGTCATCCCTTGTGTCTGGAAGGTTGGTGGCAAATGGTGACACGGGTCCACCAATCTCCTGGGAGCTGTCATAAGTAAATTCTACCAGCTTTGCATCTGGCAGGGTTGGGTTGGGTCTCAGCAGATCAGACTGTTCAATTCCAGCACTTTTCACATCCTGAGGAGAAACATGAAGGATAGCACGGGAAAAGCAGGAGCACAGTGACACCCTCCCTCATGGGCCTTACTGCATACCTAAAGGGACTGAGCAAACTCTCCACCTCCTCTGCTCTTGTGTTTTTGCTTAACATTGAGTTTAAAAGCACCTCAATGAGTTTGGAAGAGAGAAGGGCTTATATCCTGTGAAAATGGACTGAGTGGTTCCTCCTCCACTTGCTCTCAGGACCTGCTGCAGGCAAGCTTGAGGGCAAGACCTACCACCTGCTTAGCACACGTCCTGTGCCTTCAGTGGTTATAGATCCATCGTCCTCAGCCTTGATCTCACCTCCTCCCCTCACACATTTTGGCAGTGCCCATCTGCCTCACGCACCGGTCAGCACCCTCTACTACTGTCACAGCCCTAATCCAGTTTGGCTCAATTCCTCCTCCAGGCATCTGTGTTTTCTTGACCTGTCTGTTCTATTACATCCCTCTTCTTTCCAGATTTCTTCATTTTCCACTTTTCTAGGCTTCAGCCTGTAGCACTGCCACTGCTCTCCTCATATTTTCACGGTCTTAAACACCCCAGGCTCAATGGGTTGCATGAGCTACGAGTCTTTCTCCCTGTCATCCTCACAGCTGGTGAGGATCCTCACCTTTCCTTATCAATCAGAAATTAAATCATCCACCTGCCAGCCCCTGTACATACCAGTACTAATGTTAACTCCATACTTTGCCCAGTTATTTAGGCTGGAGCTTCTAGTGTGAGGGAGCATGGTGTTGGCCACAGGAGGGAATGAAAGATGGACTTTCTCAAGGCACTGGCACTACTGGATTTCACTATCTGGGTTCATCTATCTCAGGACAAGCTGGAAAACCATTGCAAACACCACAGCATAACTTCAGTCCACTTGGGTGGAATCAGTCACTGCTTACCTTCAGCTTCCCATCTTTGTCTAGGAGGAGACGCTGTTGGTCAATGGCATGTGCCAAAGAAAACTGTAGGAAAAAAAATCAATAAAGGAAAAAAGTCAGGTCTCTGATAATTCCCTCTGAATTTTCAGAGTTGGTCCCACTCCTACTCCTGGCTGTAGCAGTTCCCCACAGGGCAATAGCCCAGGCAGGGCTTTAAGATGCAGACCCAGAGGCAGTGGAGTCCGACGTGGGGAGGTGGAAGCGAGCAGGAGCTGGGACAGACTGCAAACACTGGATTTGTTTAGAAAGGGGTCAGGCCAGACGAATACAAAATAAAGTATCCTCTAGAGAGTGAGCAGTGCAGTTTTGCAATCTCAGATCTGACAAGGATCCAAATTTAAAATGGGGAGGGGAAATTAACGGCTGTTATTAAACAACCTCCTGTTAATGCCTGAGAGTCACAGTCACTAAATACAGTTGAAGCCAAGTTTCCAAAGATTTTCTACAGAAATATGAATAATGATAATATCCACAGCTATCTTATCTGGGTAAAAGATAAGAAACCTTGCTGGTTAAGCCACAGCAGAGAAGCACCTCCACCAATCTGCCTTCCAGGGCTTCTCATGCAGCAGCACTGGGTGATATTTGCCCCATGGTCTGGTGCAGGGAGCCACCACACTGCCCTTGCCCTTTGCTGGTGGGGAGAGGCTGTGCTCACACCCCCACCTCGCTGGAGTGAGAACTTACCCTTAGGAGGCTGTGCAGAGCAGATAGGCAGAGCAGACCCCAGAGGAACACCATATTTCTGGAACAGAAGAGCCAGCCGAGAGAAAAGTTATTTCCAGCTGCCTGGCAGCAGTGAGCTGAGCCTTTTCAGGTCTACAGGGAGAAAATTATCAACCTGGCCAAACAGGTTGGCACAGGAGCTCACAGAAAGCAATAGGGAGATGCACAATGCTGCAAAGAAACAACACAGGACTCCTGGGTCTGACGCCAAGGCAGCGAAATCAGAGAGGACCAGGGACCCCACTGGAGCAGAGCTGCAACCACAGCCAGGCTCCTACATGACGCTCTCCCGCTTGGATCCTGCGTGTCTGACCCCATTGCCCTCGTTTCTCTGGCTTGCAAATGGTATTTCCCTAATCAGTGCTGCACACACTGTGCCTCTGGAAGGAGACAAGACCCTCTGCTTCTTTCCCATGGAAACCACTGAGATATGGGCACAGCATCCTCAGCTGAGCCCAGGGCTCTTGGGAGAAGGGATACTGACCTGCCTCGGTGGGGCTGCAGGCACTTAAGCAGGTGCTGCCTGAGAGGGACTTTGCAGGTGGAAAAGGCAATTCCAGAGCAGTTTCTCGGCAATATGTCCTGGAATGGAGAGTCCTCCCCTTCCCAGCACTTGCCTTCCCCCCTTGCTGGCAAACCCAGCCTCTCCCACCCCCGCAGTCCAATTCCTGTATTGGGACAGTGGGATCAGGGCTTCCAGGGTCACGGACAAAGCCCCACCCATTCCCTGGCCAATGCTTCACCCAGCCACTTTTCCCTTTCAAACAAAAATAACATATCTTTTTCTTAACACAAAGTCAGTGTGCCAAAGCCCAGCCCTCAACACAACTGCCATACTTAATTCCTGGGGCTGCTTTCCACTCTCCAAGCAGTCCTCACTTGACCCAAAACTGCTGGGCTAAGACCCCAGTTGCCAAGTGGAAGAAGCAAAACTTGGGGCCATTTCATTTCCCCTCCTCCCTCACCCCAAATCCTGCAGCCACATATAACCCTGAGTACCCTGTTCCTCCCTGGTGGTGCCTCATCCGTTAACCCTCTGCCAAATTCACTCCACTCTCCCGGAGGGGCACTACTGCTCACTGGAGGAGCACTCATTTATATCAAACCCTCTTTTATTTGCCCCTTACCTGAGCTTGTTCATGTCCATGTTGGAGCTGGCACCTGCTTTAGCCCAGCTGACAGCTCTGCCTGGGGCACACAGCTCTTGTCCAGCGCACCACGGCAGCGACCTTCGGCACCACCCCCTGTTTGAGAACCTGGCAGGCAAATATTGACCTACAGCATCCGGTTAAACATTTGTTTGGAGGAGAAGAGTGAATTTGTGGTGCATCTGGAGATGGGGAGACACTTTGGGCTGCTGTATCCTCAAGACAACATTAACACCGAGTTCACCAGCTCCGAATCTCTCATCAGCAAAAGTAACGTGTGAAGTCAGTTGTCCCGAGTAGCGGCTCCACTTTCCCCTCACTCCCCGTGCTGGGAATGTGCTCTTTTATTCATAACCCTCAGTGAAAATGCAGGGCTTGGTATTTATTGCCACAGGGCTCTCTGGTTTTGGAATTTTCCTTGCAGAAAACCCCAGTTCTTCATTCCCTGCATCACAGCTGCTTCTGCTGCAGCCAGCGCAAGGCACCGGTTTAACAGATGGCAGGTGCCCAGGGTCCCCGTGGCCACACATGGAGAGGGAGGGTGTGATGCCCAGGCTGGGCTGAGCCAAGAGCAGCTGGTCCCTCCCCTGGGGCACAGCACGCTCCAGAGCTCTGCCAGGGCAGCTGGCCCGGGTGCCAGGCTCCACAGCACGCACACACTGCTGGGGCATGGAGGAATAGTCTCAGGGACGGGCAGAATTCCAGCAGTCCTGTCCTGTGTGGTTTTGTGCTGTATCCAGAAGTGATGGTGATCCTTCCCACCTTCTGTCTGTGTCCTCAGTGGGAGAGGAGTCACTAAAGAGCAGTGGGGAATGCTAATGGGATCACAGTTCTTCCAGTCATCCATTCCTTGCAGTAAGTCTTGGTTCCCAAACTCACCCCAGACACTGGGAAGGAGGAGACAGGTCTGAGCTCTGCAACCACAAACTACTTTGGGACATTCTGCTGCAACATGAGGAACTAATTCCCATTGGAAAGCAAATCCAAATCCTTGTGCAGCAGTCCTACCTTACATCCAGGGCATCTTCACAGCATCCCTCCTCCAGCTCCCCCAGAACAAAAGAGGTGCCCAAATGAGGGGCTTTAGCTCTGGCTGCAGAGCAAGAGAGCTGCAGCCAGCACACCCAGCCCCTCCAGCATAGATCTTCCACACACCTGGCTCTGCAGCTCTTTCAAAGAGTTTATTAGAAGTAAATATTTACATCTATTGCAAATGGTTAATAGGCAACACGGGACTGAGAGCTCCCCTTAGGTAGGGAAGGACAGCACTGGCCAACCACTCACCTCCCCAGCTGCAGGTGGCTCAGATGAACCAGCAGCTGGATCAAAGCCCTTTCCCCTCCCAGGATAACCCACAGCAGGCTCCTCCTCTGCCTATGATAAGTGCTTCCTGCTCCCCTGATACTGGCTCTGGCTAGGCTGAAGGATGGATGGGAAAAGGGCTGCAATAGAAGTGAAGCAACTGCTCCTACTGCTGGGTCAAAGAGCACACTCTTTGCTTTTGAGGTGGGAAACAGTGTTGTCCCAAGGGGAAGCTCAGAGGAAGACCATGCTGGATAATGCCTCCTGGCTCTCACCCTACAAGGGCAGGAGGGGACAAAACTGAGCACCTTTGTGCTGTCCTGTCTTCCCCAGGAATCTGACCAGCACAAAGGAGAGGATTAGAAGGATTTCTTGAGGAACCCTGCCAGTGCGTGGCACACTGGGCATTCCTCACCCCTTACATCATCACTGGATGCTGGGGCAGGAACCAACAACAGCCCTACCCTACTGCTCCAGAAACCAAAATCCTCAGGGAAGCATCTAGTTCTAGCCTCCCTAGAGGGTCACATTCCCATTCCAAACTGCCCCTCTGCAGCAACCCATTCCTAAATGAACTGGCAGAACAGAAGGGGTTTGTGCCTTGGCTGACTTCCATTCCAGTCTTTGCTGTGCAGCCAGTGTGGCAGCAGAAGGGCTCTAGTTAACATCTCCTCCTCCCGTGCAGGCTCTCACTCAGCTGGCAGGACCTAAAGTTCATAAAGTACCTCCTCTGGGCTTGGAGCACCGACCATGGGAGAAGGAGGTGCCTGGCACCGCACAGCTCCGGAGGCAGCAGTTCCCAGGCCCAGCTTATGCTATCCTAGTAAGACTGTTCAGTGGTTCAGGAGTGGAAGTGAAGGGTAAGTGCAGATGGCAGTAGCTAAACTGTTGTGTTTTGTCAAGGGGCACCTCTTACTCCTTAACTGAAGGAGAGAGGGTTCCTGTGGTCCCTGTTACTCTGGAGGGCACCTCACAGTCCCCTGGGGTCAGGCACACATGGTATGGAAAGCTCCAGGCCTCTCTGCAGGGGTGACAGTGACCTACAACGCCCAGTATCTCTCCCAGCAGCAGTGGAGGTTTCTCAGTTATGGCTTTTTTTTTCTTTTCAAAGACACAGAAAGAGGTTAGAGACACTTTATCAAGTGCTCACTAACAAGTACACCTCCCCCTGCATCCTCCGTCCAGAAACATCTAACTCTGCCTCCTCCAAAAGCCATGCTGCCGGCTTCCAGCTCCACCACCAGCACTGTGGGACAGCCACAGGCTCCTGGGCTGGGGGGTCACTACGCCAGGAGGCGAATGATGCCGTTGTCGGAGCCCAGCAGGAGATGGCACTTTGTGGGCAGCACCGCCAGGCTGGTCAGTGTACCCCGAAAATTCTCGGAGCTCAGCTTGGTCGTGCTGATGGGCAGAGCTGAGGACTCCAGCATGGAGTAGACCCCGATCTTGTTGGCCACAGTGCCAGTCACCACTTCGTTACCGTAGAGGTCGAATGCGTGGATGGGTTCGGACGCAGATTTGTAGTGGTGCAAAGGTTTCTGCTCCAGTTCCTTCCAGACAGTCAAGGAATGATCTGAAGAGGAGCTGATTAGCACATTGCCCTCTGCAGCCTGCAGGAAAGGAAAGGCCAGTGAGCCAATACTCCTGCTGTAAAAACTCCCAGTCACAGTGCAATCCCTTGGGACAGGCACAGCCATTTCCAAGCAACTGATGATACTGAGAAGTATTAGCAAAGCATCACGATGCTGTGGTAGCTGGCAACCTCCTCCAGAGCTATCCTCCAAGACATGGGCTATGCCTCTTCTCAACAATATCCTGATACCCAACACAACTCATTCATCATCTGTTATTACTGCAGTGGATAAAGGGATTACCATGCAGTCTCCCTCTCCACTAAATCACCTGCTAAACTATTTTCCTTTTCAGGAAAAGGAATCAGGAGGCTCTCTCACAGTGAAAAACACTGCTGAGGGTAGGAGAAGCCTGGAGCTGCTTATTAGCAGAGCTAGTGAGAGGGTAAACAACCCACACTGCTGAACTTTGTTTAACCTGCATTTGGGTCAAGGACCCTGGAGCCCCAGCGCTGCTCCCTGAGGGTGGGTAAATATGGACAAGAGTTATTCATTAGAGTGACACTCTCCCTGGGAAGCTGAGTGCCATGTGGAGAAAGCAACACATTTGCTTCTTCACGGGAGCTATGGCTCCTCCCTGCCCCTGCTGCAGACCTGCTCAGCAGGGACTGACATCCAGGAGGGTTGGACCACTGGCAGCACTAACCAATGGACACAGCAAAGGTGGAGGAATGCTCCAGGATGGAGCAGACAAGCCCTGCTGGAAGGATGCTCCATGCAGCCTCAGAGGATCGACGAGGCCCCACCTTGATCCCAGCTGAACCTCTCACCTTGATCTGCAGGATGTCTCCCTCATGGGCAGGCCACCCCCGCATGATGAGCCCCGTCCTGGTGTCCAGCAGCACGATGAAGCCGGAGGAGAAGCCGGCCATGACGCTGCGCCCGTTGGGACTGACGGCCAGGCAGCGGATGAGCCCCGCGCTCACCCCGCTGGCCAGGCGGAACTCGTGCTGCAAGAGAGACAGGCCAGCTATGGGGGATGGAGATCAGGGGATCCAGCACTTAGGGGACAAGACACCCTGGGCTCCAGCTGGCTTCCATGGAGACATGGCAACTGGCTTTGAGCCAGCTGTGATCCCATTGTTACGCACATGGATGGAGGAGGGTGGCTTGCAGAGCCCCAGGGTCCCTACCTGCAGTCCTGGCTTCCTGTGGTCGATGAACCGCAGCACAGAGTCTGCACTGGCCACAGAGATGCTGTGATGGGGAGGTGGCATGGTGGTCACAGCTGTGATGGGCACTTTGCTGTCTAATTCATCAAAAGTCCGGAGAAGTTTGCCTGTGAAAACATGACGGAGACACTCTGGCAGCAGATGCACAGAGAAGGTACACAGCAGATCTCCAGTTCTGTGCTGGGTTTTAACGGGAGCCATCCAAACTCAGTATGGCCCCTCTGTCTGAAAGGACTGGACAAGTTCCCTCTAGCCAGCCCTCACCCTTTCCCTTCTTACCCGTGAACTGGTCCCAGATGTGCACAGTCCCATCACAGCTCACCACGTGCTGTGGTGCCTCCAGCTGGCTCACGTAGAAAACAGACT